ATACTTTTAATGGAAATTCAATGTTTGTCACCCTCAAATCGTTTCTAATGGCAACAGGAGAGTAGTCATCAATCTTGTTGCTAACAGAAACGAAGTGTCATTTAAAAGCATATAGAACGATCAATACCGTGTGAGTCACAATTATGTAGAGGCTAAATGACGTACTGATAGTTGATATGGAAAAAAAAATTCTGTTCACACTGAAATGAAATAGATAATAATTAATTTAATCTAATTTTGAAAATAATAACAATTTTTAATAAACAAGTCAGCCTTGGCACTGAAAAAAAACTCTTTTTGTGGCAGGTAAAGTACCTTTTCTGTTTACAGTACGTAAAAGTGTTATTAAGAAGTTTTGTTCAGAATAAAAAACTGTGGCCATATGTCAATTATCGTAATGATATTTGATTGAATTTTGATTTTTATAAATCACTAATTGTACTTTTATACTGGTTTATTATAAATAAATCCGCTTTACATGTTTCGACTAATTAGTCATCTTCAGAAGCGTTGTCGTAAAATAAGAAACGGCGTTCAAAAAACTTCGCATAAAGTATAAATCGTAAATAAGGTCAGCACATCAAAAACGGTGATATTCAAAACAATTATTGTAAATATTAAATTTAAAAAAAACTATAGAACTAACATGTTAAAATGTAAATGTAAAGTTTAAGAATTAAAATTAAAAACGACGTTACTTGAAAGTTACAAAAATAAAATGTTTGAATAAAATTTCAAGTAATAGTATAGTAATAGTATAGTATCACCGTTTTTGATGTGCTGACCTTATTTACGATTTATACTTTATGCAAAGTTTTTTGAACGCCGTTTCTTATTTTACGACAACGCTTCTGAAGATGACTAATTAGTCGAAACATGTAAAGCGGATTTATTTATAATAAACCAGTATAAAAGTACAATTAGTGATTTATAAAAATCAAAATTCAATCAAATATCATTCACATCTACTGGTAAAATGGATTTTACTATTAACATTGATCAAATTATCGTAATGATTGGCCTATTTTGATAAAAATATATAACACAATTTTATTTCTAACAAAGACTGCCATGGAAAAACAAACTTGCTTTCCTGTCAATTGTTAATCTGTCAAACTGGAATTTAGTAAACTTAAAGTGTTCAGAAGAAAAAGTTTACGTAATTCACTGTAATGGAACCGGGAAAAGATCAATAAATATGGTTATTGCTTTATTTAGTGAAAAATTTCCAAATACTGGAATTAATAGAAGTACTACTTGGCGTTTAATCAAAAGATTTCTTACAACAGGAAGTGTTCTATAAGAAAAAAGATGAAACTAATACAGGTACTTAGTTGCTTTACATTCAACGGATGCATTTCCTACCATGTCTCTAAGAAATTGAAGCGTAAATACAAACATAAGTAAAACACATTTACAAAGAATTTATAACGCAAACAGAAATTTTTTCTTTGTACGGATTACAAAGCCAAATTTTGCCACATTTTGGAGGAAGGTGACGATGCAAGGTTTGCACCAAATTAAAAAATTTTTGTTCTGGTGAATGTACCTTTATGACAAATTGTATTGCTTCTTTCCAAAACTGTTGGTATTGGAGCAGAGATTATAAAATTAATGCAAAAAGGCAGTATTTTAAAAAAGTTAATGTGTGGTGTGTCGTGTCATACAAGGTAGGAATAATCGGACCGTTCTTTATTGAAGGAAGATCCAGACAAACTTATTAACAAATTCTGGCAAGGTTTGTTGACGAACTTCCTTTAGATGTTCGACAGGCTAATTTTTTTCAACATGATGGCTACCCTGTCCATTCAATAAAAAATGATTAGTGATTGGCTAAATAGTCAACTTGGCGAAAGATGGTTTGGAAGAATACCACGCTCATTCTCCAAAACCATCTTCATCCAAATTGATTCAGGCCGGCCAAATCTCACAATAATGCATTATTTTGTTTGGGGAAGAGTAAAACAAGTAGTTTATCAAGAACACATTCCGAATGATACAGAAATATTAAAAAATAGAATAACACATGCAGTTCGTAAATTAATAATTTTCTCCTTGGTCTTCAGGTATATTATAGTAATCGATGAAAATAATACAAATGTATCTCTGAAGATTAAAATTTATTCAAAAAGTTTTGTCCTCAACGACCGGTTTTGATTTTTATACAATCGTCTTCAGGTTGTTTGCTACGAATTAAACATAGATTGAAATATCACAAAAACGCATTAAAATTTATTAACATGTATTAACCGTCAAAAAAGATTCAATTCTTGAGGTAAAGATGGAAAGATGGAGATACACTTATTTAATATGTTATAGAGAAAACTCCTTTGAGATTCCTTTGATTCCTTATGTCGTGTTTTTTTGTCAAACTATTGTTAAAATTACACACACAATAAACGTTAAATTTTACAAAAAACTCTTTTTACACTTAAAAAATCGCAGATATAATGGTTTTAGAATTAGGATGTCCGAAAATATATACAGGTGTCCCGAAACTCAACGTCGTGAGAAGCCAACCCATACCTGTTCTGGTAAAAATAAGAAAAAAAGTCTATGTCTCTTAGTTAAGTGGTAATAGACATATTTTTGAAAATGTTAAAAATCGTTCCCGTACCCGCAATTTAATAGTGTTTTCTTTAATAATGTATTCCTCATGAACCATGCTACTATAGCAGTCACAAATGGAACAACAAAAGTAGTTAGTTTTGCAAGAAAAAGTATCAGTTTGATTGAGTAAAGGTTGAAAGAATTTATGTCTATTAAGTTTGACACACGATTTCTAAACAAAGGACTATTACAACATCCTTGGCAGGTTATTTTAAAAGATGGCCTGTTTAGTCAAGATTCCAAAGTGGTATAACACTTAACATTTTTCTTTTCCTAAAAAATATTATTGCCTGTTTTTCTGCCAAAAACACGTTATTTAAAAAATTCATACTTCCGTATGTTATTTGTATTTTCTCCAAAATGATTTAACAACTTTGTTAGAAGATGTGCCACTCAATATCTACAGAGAAATGTGGTTTCAACAAGATGGTTGCCCAGTTCATTATGCTTGTCCTGTACGGGGTTGCATACAGAATACCCAGAAAGATGGATTGGGCGTCGTGGTTCGATTACGTGGCCTCCTCATTCTCTGGGTCTAAATCCCTTTGATTTTCTTATTAGGATTGCATAAAAGAAACAGTGTATTAAAAACCGATTGAAAATCTTGCCGAACTGAGCCACAATATTTATACAGCAGCAGAAGAAATAAATGCAAAGAGATTTGCACAACTAATAAAAAGATCTTTTCTGTGACGATGCAGAGCTTGTATTAGTGCCGACGGCAAATAATTTGAGCATTTGCCTTAGTTTTAAGAAAATAATGCTATAAAATTAATAATAAATAAATTTGTTTGTTTAATTTTGTCTTTAGGTTAACCTTATTTGAAAGAGTCTTTTTGCAAGACATACGGGCAACCATCTTGTTGAAACCACATTTTGTAGTTCGTAGATATTGACTGGCACATCTTCTAAGAAAGCTAAGAAGAAATAAAAAGTAAATACAAATAATATACACAAGTATCAATTTTTTAAATAACGTGTTTTTTGCAGAAAGTTGTAGCATTTTGGAAACTTGACTAAACAGGCCATCTTTTAAAATTACTTGCCAAGGGTGTACTTCTCCTTTTTTTAGAAATCGTGTGTCAAACTTGATAGACATAAATTCTTTCAACCTTAACTCAATCAAATCAATATATTTTTTTGCAAAACTAACGATTTTTGTTGTTTGATTTGCGACTTCTACAGTAGCATGGTTCATAAGGAATACATTATTAAAAAAATCACTATTAAATTGCGAACATTTCTGACCGTACTACCTAAAGATATGATATACAGGACCGATTTTTAACGTTTTCAAAAATATGTCTATTACTACTTAACTAAGAGACATGGAATTTTTTTCTCATTTTTACCAGAACAGGGTGGGCCTCTCACCCGGTGCCTGCTTGACGTTGAGTTTCGGGACACCTGTATATCAATAACGTTGTACAACTGTCAATTCGGAATCGGGCGGAAGAATTAAAAAGGAAAATTACATTTACAATGGTTCGATTTGCTTACAGCTATAACTTTTCATTTTCAATAAAATATCTTAGTAAGATTTTGGCATACTGTAAACAGAAAAGGTACTTTACCTGACACAAAAGGAGATTTCGCTTCACTTTTTAAAACTTGAAAATATGTTCAAAATTAGTCTCTAACCAAGCAGGGCTAAACCCCAAAAAATGATAATAACGAAAAAATTTTACTTATTACATATAAGAGTCGTGTCAGCTATCCGGGGACACACTGTATATATTTTTTTCTTATTAAATCTCTTTGTTTATCTATCTTATCTTAAAATAGATATTTTAGTTTTAATTTGAGATATTATAAATAATTTCTAAACCTCTAAAAATAAATTTTTTTATAATCGAAATAATTACTCAACTATAAATAAACGTTTTTCAATAATAATGTATTAAAAAATTATTTGGTTATCAAGATTAATAATAATTAATCTAGGACACACTGTATGTATTTTAATTCACACGAGCATCGAAGTAGGCCATGCTATATAAATACAACTGCAGCTCTACACCGAGAAAACCTGGAGACTTGCAAGTCCAGCACCAGCTATATCTTGCGTAAATCGAGGCGAAATCACCTACCGGCGGCGAGTCGCAGAAAAAGTGGCACAGAAAAACGCAACGAAAGTGGTATGGTGTGCGATAATTACCGTTAGCAACGGTTCGAAAGAAATTTTGTCGAAAAAGAAAGCAACCTATGAATCGATAAAAAAAGAATTCGTTTGTTTTTTTTTTGTTTTTCAAGGATATTTATATCATCAACTGTCTTATCATCATTAAAAAAAACTGTCCGTGACTTTGACTTTGGACGAAACATCTTTAAAAATAAAACTTTGTAAAACTTTCACAAATTACACACATTAATTTCGATTTTTCACTTACCGGCGAAAACGGTGGCCGAAGAAGAATTAATCCATCGTATCCTCGTCGTATGTGGACACACAAGATTATTATTATTACGGGAGAAAATGAAATTAAAAATAATAAAAAAACTTTCGCACTGTTTTTGTTTTCGCGTTGTTTTTTGTTTCCCGTTTGTTTTTTTTTTATTGTTTTGTTAATCGGATCGGAGACGTGCGTGCGTGATCTTGTTTATGAATGGGGGACATAATACACAAAAACCGATTGCGGATTGCGAGTCGACGTTTTCGGCCGTTGACTATACACTACCGTCAGCCACGAGAAACTGAACTGATAGCGCATGTGTCACGCGCATTCGGTGGAAATATGGAGGACGCGCATGCGTGCCATCTTGAGACGCTCGCTTGCATTTCGACTCCTCGTCTGCCTCGTCTGCCTCGACTGCCTCGACGCTAGAATGTCAACATCGCAATGCATCCTTGATCATTTTATTGATGTTGATATCTACAGGGAATTATAACGACTTCTTTATTCCTATTTTTCATTTTTAACTCGATACTATCTAAATGTAAAAAACATACGTTTTTAATACGTTGTTTCTTATTAGATACGGATAATTAACTCGGTTTTAACTACACTAACTCGTTAAATAACGAACATGTTGGCACCCGCATTTAACCTCTATCATTAAAATATTTATGATTCTGTATATTATTAATCTTTAATAAAATGTACTGGTTAATTTTGTTTTATCACAATTTTGTAACAAATATTTTGGACTATATTCTTAAAAAAAATTTATTGGTCTATAAAATTGGCTGTTATATATGGTGCAACTAAATTGAGAAATATTTGAATCCTTGGAAAAGATAACGTGAGCTTCAAACACTATTTTCTCAGTAAAATTTTTCGAGGTGTAATAATTGGATTTGAAATCAAAGGATTTAATTTAATGTTCTACTATTTTGTAATAAAACAACATTGTCGTTGTAGGTTTCTACATTTATAATTATACAAGGTGATTTATTAGCTCACCATCAAACTTTGACATAATATATGATAGCTAATCCAATTACCGAAAAATAATGTTAATGAACATACATGTCCTATTTCAATTATTTACGAAATTATAACACTTTAAAGTTTTAATTTATATTTCATAATTAACTGCTACACAGGGTGATTCTCAACCTATACGCATAAACTTGGGGATTTATTCCTCATAACAAATAGTGAGTACGAGCCCCAACAACTATACAGGCTGATTCACATAAGAACCAACACAGAGCAGAGACATGTAGAGGACAATAAATTAAGATGATTTAACGTAACTTACCTCTATACTAAGTTGTACCCTTGAAGAGTTATAGGCCTTCAAAGTTGGGTCTTAAATTTTTAAAATATTGAATATCTTCGTAATACATTAAGCTAGAAAAACCAAATTTGGTATACGTTATGAGTGTACCGAGGTTATTAATTGACAGGAAGTTGAGACTAATTGAGGAATTTTAAATGGTTGATTAAGGCTGATGGTCCCCTAAATTTTGACAGATTTTTTTTAGCCTTTTGGTGGATTTAATACATTATTACTTCATTTCATGTGGAATTTAATTCTAAAACTTTTTTTACTCTTATTATTTTTTAAAAAACATTGTCGTTTTCATAAAAAACTCAAATAGCTAAAGACACGTATAATGCTAATGAAATTTTCACCGACGTTTCGTTTTCGTGAAATTAACATCAGGTTTATTTTTTCTTATGAACGCCATATTTGATTTTCACACCAAAAAATAGGATAATTAATTCAGATTTCAATGATATGTCACACAATGTATTTTATTTAAAAAAACAGTGTATTATTAAAAAAAAGAATAAACCTGATGATAGTTTTACGAAAACCAAACGTCGGAGAAAATTTCTAGTTGTCTCATGACATTTTTCATAAAAAGTTGCCTTAAGAATGTTTTTTCAGATTCATGAAAAAACGAAAAATAAAGGAGTTATAGGCAAAAAACGAAAAAGTCATTTTTTTGTTTTTCGGCCATATTTTAAAAACTAAAACGGCTAGATCCAAACACTTAGTTGAAAAATGATGAGCTCTAAGATACGCAACTTTGCCCCCATTTAACCATTTCTGTATCTCTTATGGTTTCTGAGATCCTAATGGTGGGGGTCGAATTTGAATTACTCTGTAGAGAAACGGTAATTCAATTTTTGTCCACGCTGTATAAGATACTCTGATACAACAAATGACAATCTATTTGACACCATCCGAAAAGCAATCGTGCCATTTTAGAGCTTTTTTGAATGAACGTTGGCTGGGATATGGGGTTTTAAAGAGCATAGTGAAATTTGCCAAAAAGAAATAAAAATCAAAATAACTCGAAAACGATAAGCGCATTTACCAATAACTTTTATAAAAGTCAACATATTTTTTTACGTACAATTAAAAGGTGTAATAAAAACTATAGAATTCCATTTAAAATAACGAAGTTTAAGTCTACTTCCGGCCATCTTGAAAATATTTTAGATTGAAAGTTCCGAATAAACAACCCATGCTACCAAAATTTTAAAACTGTACGAATAAAAGTTACTAACGATAAAGAGTTCTAACGAACCAGTTACGTGAGACACCTTTATGTATGTAAAATAAATACTAAATGATTAATACCAAAAATTTTAATGTAATCCAAAATTAGTACATAAATAGCACAAAATTATGGCACTATCCAAATTCTGATATCTTAATAGGGGGGTATAACTGGACGTACAGCTACAACCCCCACTTTGATATATACAGGGTGTTTCATAATATATGCGCAGGACTACAGGATGTGATAGTTTGTCCAAAAATTTGAAAAAGTTTCCATCAACTTACTCTCTAAAATGCACCATTTTCGAAATACAGGGTGTTGAAATTTAACAAAAAAATCGTTTTTTGCGAATATCTCCGGAACCGTTTATCGTATAGAAAACAGCGTTTGTAACATTTTCTACTCATAATTTTCTCGCATAAAAATGCGAGAAAATTTTTTTTAAAGTCATAATTGATGAAGATTTTGGTTGTTTTTCTCCCCAAATTCTACACCACTGGAAAAAGTACGGTTTTGAGACGCCCATTTGAACCGTCAATGTTTTCTACACAAAAAAGGTACTGTAGGTCATAAGCTCTATGTTGACCGTTTTTTAGAAAAATCAACTTATATGTTGAAAAACATAAAAAAAAATTTATTTTACAATTAAACAAAATTTCTCCAAATCTCCAAACCGTAAAGGCTTTAAATTTTATAACAAAAGCTACCTCCTGTCAAAATAACAATTAGTTTGTACCTGCAAAAAGTAAACGAAATGCATTATCTTTACGGAATGGCGTGCGGTACTTCGGCAGAAGTAAGGCGGTTGGATCAAGAAAGACATCTTGATCGCCCAGTACCACACCATAACTTGTTTCTACGCATTCGCCAACGACTATGGGAAAATGGAAGTTTTAAAAGGAATACTGCTGATAATGGACGGCCTATGGAAGTTGCTAATCCCCAAGTAGAAGAGGCTGTCCTCAACGAAATTGATGAAAATCCGACCACAAGTACCAGAAAAATTGCTGACAACTTAAACCTATCTCACTCGACGGTTTTGAGAATTTTGAAGAGGAAATTTTTTTATCCCTACCATATCCAAGGAGTACATGCCTTATTGCCAAGCGATTTTCCGCCAAGATTGGCTTTTTGTGCATGCAAAACAAAATAGCTCAAAATTCTGAGTTTGGAGCCGAATTCGAATTTTGAGCAAGAAGAAGAACAAGAAGAAACTCAAAATGTACGCTTATAGCACTGAAGNTCTTAAATTTTTAAAATATTGAATATCTTCGTAATACATTAAGCTAGAAAAACCAAATTTGGTATACGTTATGAGTATACCGAGGTTATTAATTGACAGCAAGTTGAGACTAATTGAGGAATTTTAAAGGGTTGATTAAGGCTGATGGTCCCCTCAATTTTGACAGATTTTTTTAGCGTTTTGGTGGATTTAATACATTATTACTTCATTTCATGTGGAATTTAATTATAAAACTTTTTTTACTCTTATTATTTTTTAAAAAACATTGTCATTTTTTGCGAATATCTCCGGAACCGTTTATCGTATAGAAAACAGCGTTTGTAACATTTTCAACTCATACTAAGCTAAGTTTTATGCGAGAAATTTTTTTTTAAAGTCATAATTGGTGAAGATTTTGAAGTGGTAGTGGTTGTTTTTCTCCCCAACTTCTACACCACTGGAAAATGTACGGTTTTGAGACGCCCATTTGAACCGTCAATGTTTTCTACACAAAAAAGGTACTGTAGGTCATAAGCTCTATGTTGACCGTTTTTTAGAAAAATCAACTTTTATGTTGAAAAACATAAAAAAAAATTTATTTTACAATTATACAAAATTTCNTACTGAAATAAGAAATCAACCAGACATTTTAATTCGGCTGAAGAACTCTTTAATTCGTCGTTGTGAAGCATGCATTCTAACAGAAGGAGGCTATTTTGAACAATACTTGTAATATTTATGTGTTAAAAAAATTTTGCAGTTAATTATGATATAAAAATTAAAACTTTAAAGTGTTATAATTTCGTACATAATTGAAATAGAAAATAATAAATTGATATATGTTCATTCACATTTTTTTTGGTAATTGGATTAGCCATCATATATCAAAGTTTGATGGTGAGCTAATAAATCACCCTGTATATCAATATACAGGGTGATTCATAAGTAATGGGCCAAATTGTAAATGTACGTTCAGGAGGCCAAAATAATAATATTTTCATTAACAATAATGGGTCTTAGTCTGCTCCTTACTGAGATACAGGATGTTAAAGCGAAAAAAATAAAATAGATTTTTGTTAATAGATCAGCTACTTTTCTACATAATGACTCATAGTTGACTTATAGTTTTTGTAAGGGTAAACAATAATGTGTGAGAGGATTTGAGTTAACTCGTAGATGTCGCCACATGCGCCATATGAATTATGAAACGTCAATGAGCTTTTACGTTTAATGAATAGTTTAAAACATTTTATTGTTAANTTTAGCGATTCTTTCAGAAGACTTCGAGAAACAGGTAATCCTGCTCCAGCAAAAGCTATTCCACCGCATGTAGTTAATGCAGAGGACGAAGAAACTGTAATTAATGCTGTCATTGATCCTTCCATCAGCACTCGAAGAGTAGCACACAACATACATTTAAGTCAAAATTTTGCATGGCGCATATTGAACCGCGAAGTCTTTCATCAGTATCGTAAACAGAATGTTCAAGCTAACATTTTGTGAATTGCAGCAACATGCCGAA